CCCACACAGGCTGTGTGCCTCTGGGAAAGGAACTTTGCCTCTCTGAGCCTCACTGTCCTCTTGTAAGATGCAGATAATATCGGCATCGATCTCATGGAGTTGTCTGGGAATTTAAACAAAAAACTGGGGTGTGCACAAAGAGTGTGTGACTCCGGCTCATACTAAGTATTTGATAAATGTCGATTTCATTCCTTTGAAAATCCCAAATGTACAGTCCCTGTGCCCCACGGCCAGAGGTCCACCCACCACCTCCCACGGTCCCTGCCCTGTGGCAAGGAAGCCGCCTGCTGCAGTTAGGCCCAAAACTCTGGACTGAGCAGCAGATCTGGGGTCACATGGGAGTCCCAGCTCTGCCCCTCGTTGGCAGTATGACCTTGGACAAGGTACCCCTCTGGACCTCAGTTTCCTCATCTCTAAAACGGGACTGAAAGACCTACCACGCAGAGTCACTGAGGATCGGGTGGGTTGAAAAGTAGAAGGAGGTTAGAACCACATCGGGCACGTAGCCAGCAAGGAGATGGCAGTGGTGGGTCCTGTTTGCATGAGCATCACTCCTGCTACCTCTGGGCCCCTCCGCCTCAGGGTGCCCTCCGCTCTACACGCCATGTCCCACAGGAGTCATATTCGCATTATCTCATTAAATCCTCAACTCAACCCATCTCCCGATGAGAAAACCAAGGCTTAGAGAACTTAGGGCTCTTACCTGTTCAAAGTGACCCACCACAGGGAAGTGGGAAGCCCAAAGCTCATGCCACTTGGCCCAGGCAGCCTCCCAAGAAGTGCCCAAAGGCCAGGCATTTTCCCTGGAAGACTCTACCCCTGTGTCTAGGTCAGACCCAGGAATGCAGCAGGTACTGCAGAAATGCACATCAGTCAGGCTGGACCCCTCGCCCTCAACTAGGAGATCTGTTCTGCAAATGGAAAACCAGGAAACAGGGCACGCCAGGCCAAAAGATAAGTGCCACCGAGTTGCTGTGGCAACCAAGGCCAAATTTAGGCAAAAGTGAACTTGGCCGGGGGCAGAGAGCTGTCGCTACCAAACTCTGAGACTCCCGTTTTCTCACCTCCAGACACCCTCCAGAAATCCCCTCCAGAGGCTGCACACCCAGAACCAGAGCAGGGGGCAGGCCACAGACACCCCTAGGCCAGGATCTCTGCCCCTGCTTGCCCGGCTTGGCAGAGAGGGGGCCCCAGATGTGCCTGATGAACTGAACGGAATTATTCTGTGCCTTCCCCCTAGCCAGTGCCCTAAGGGATAAGGAGAAGGGAGCAGGATGCCAGAACCCTGGGCACTGGAGGTTGCCTCTGCCCAGAGTTCTCCCCCTAGAGTCTGACTGGGTTCTCTAGATCCCAAGAAATCACATCTAAATCCTGTGTGTACGTGTCACTCTCCAATGTTCACAGCTTCCAATTCTCAAAACCATGAATTCCTCATAGGAAAAGTCTGGATGTTATAGCTTCGGCATCCAACTCCAATCTGGGCTATGCCTCCCTGCCAGCTGTGCGAGCTGAGCAGTGACTTTGCCTCTCTGAGCCTCAGTTTCCTTATCTGTAAAATGGGGTGATAATGGCACCTGCTTCTATCATGAGGCTTCAATGAGGTGATCCACGCTTAGCTGTGCACTTGGATACGGTGTGGCAGACGCTTCCGTGTGTTGAGCAAAACGCATTTCCGATTCTTCTCAGGAAATGGGACTCCCTTGCAGCCAGCTACAGCCATGTGATCACATTCCGGCCAGGAGAATTAAGATAAAAAGAACGCAGACCTGGCCCATGAAATATCTCTCATGAGGAAATGCTTGTCTCCTTCCTTGTCCACCAAAGGGAAGGCAATCGTGCTGAGGCCCTAGGGGATGCCAGAGCCACGTGCTGGAAGGGTCTGGGTCTGTGGGTCACCACGGAGAAAGCCAAACACCACGGGGAAAGCCAAACACCCAACAGGACTTTTCATGAATGAGAAACAAACTCCTGTTAAGCCTCTGAGATTTCAGAGTTTTGCTGTCACGTCAGCTAGTATCACCCTAATGATGACACACGCTGTTAAATAGTGGATAGCGTTGGGTCTTATTAGCGTTATCATTACCACCACTGATATTATTGGCTCGTCCCAGGACCCAGTCTAGAACCTTGTTGCCTGACAAGACTAAGGCTCAGCGAAGTTAAATAACCTGCTCAAAGTTACCCAGTAGGAACAGCTGAAGCCACATGCGAGACCCAGGCAGGCCTGGTTCCAAAGTTTTGAACGATAACAGCAATGGCTACCATTATGTAGCACGTACTATTGCCAGCCACCGGCCTAGGTCTCTGACGTGTGTCACATAAGCCGCTGCCACCTTTTTGCCTGCCATCGTTTGCCTGCACTGGGTCTCCCAGCCTCTCCTCTCGTCCCTCCATTCCAGTCTATTCTTTTTCTTTAAGTTTATTTATTTTTGCGAGAGCGAGCACAAGAGAGCAGGGGAGAGAGAGAGGAAGAGAAAGAGAATCTCAAGCAGGCTCCCAACCGTCAGCATAGAGCCCAATGCAGGGCTGGAACTCGCAAACCGAGAGATCATGACCTGAGCCGAAATCAAGGGTCGGATGCTCAGCAGATCGAGCCACCCAGCGCCCCAATTCCAGCCTATTCTCACACAGTAGAGACCACATCCCTCTTCTGTTCAATCCCACCCCTCCCCCAACACACACACGGCTTCCTACCACACTCAAAATTAAATAACAAAATTCAAGGTCCTGCCACAGCATACGAGGCTTACCGGACCTGGGCCCTGGTCCACTTCTCCCCCCTCACCGTCCCCTTCTCGCTTGCCCTTGCTCATTCCACCCCAGCCACGCTGGCTTTCTTGAGTCTCAGCCATACGTATCAGGCATGCTCCCACCTCAGGACCGTTGCACCTGCCGTTTTACCTGACTGCAATCCCTCTTTTGCAGGACTGACTACTGCTTGTCAGCCAGATCTTGCCTCAAAAATATCACCTTCTGGAAGGGCTAATCCTGACACGAAGCTAAAGTGGTCCCTGCCGGTAGTCATTCACCATTTTCTCTAACATGTATGTGGTCTACCTCCTCCAAGGACAGGGATCAAGCCGGCCTTGTTCCCTGCTACCTCCGCAGTGCCTAAGGCCCTGAGCTCCATGAACAGCTGTTCAATGAATGAATGCATGCATGCATGCATGCATGCATGCACGCAAAGAAACCATAATACAGGAAACTAAATGAAAAAAATTTGAAAAAGAAACAGTTCCCCTGAACTTTGGTGGGGGGTCACATAGGGCAAGTCCTGGCCATATGATGTCACCCACAGACTGGAATTCCAGGCGGACCCCAGGCAACACATACCCAGCACCTGCTGTGTCCCTGGAGCTCAGGGTAAAAACCCGACAGTGTCCGCAACATGGGACTGAGTGGGAAGGGTGCCTAGTGTCCAAGGGCTTGAGAGAAAGCCTGGGGGAGTCCTCTCCCTGAGCGAAGTCAGGCAAACCCTCAAGATCCAGGGGTTCCGACTCCTGAGGTCTTTCCTGAACCCTGCTTCTGACTAAGGAGCCCACCGGCCTGGCTATACAGCCTCGGGTCTGCTGCTAACACAGGACTTGTTTATTTATTAAGCACCTGCTGTGAGCTCAGCTAAGGAAAATAGCAAATCTCGGATGAAAACAGTAAGGTACCCTCATGGGCCCTCCCCCACGGTGTCCCAAGCTCCCAGACACGTCCCAGCCCCAGGGGGAGCTGGCCTCTCGGGTTTGCATTAAAATCCGGAGCGAACCCGTTGGGAATACGCCAACCCCAGGCCCCATGTGG